TTTATCTTAAAATTTCATTTTTATACTGTTACAATAAAAATAATCTCTTTTATTTATTTACTTCTATATTTTTACTTTGTTTTGTTGCTGGAAAACCAGAACAAATCCTTCTAGCAACTTCAAATTAAATGCAGGACTCAAAAGCTTTCTTGAACTACGCCATTTACTAACTAAAAGGAAAAATACAAATCATATATATATATATATATATATATATATATATATATATATATCTTATATATAAAAATGGAGCTCTCGAGGAAATGATCCGCTAAAACTCGAAAACGGCTAAACTTTACATTTTTAATGGGCACAACTAGTGTAACCGCCTAAAAAAAGGTGATTTTTGGGAATTTATATTAAAAAAATACTTTATCAATCATTTCAAAATTTCAGGAATATATTTACACATGTTTTAAGAATAGATAGTAAAATTTTTGAAGAAAAAAATTAAATATTTTTTAAGTTATAGTCGATCTCTAACGGCGCGAAAAAAAAGGTCCTTCACTGCTGCAGTAATTTCGGGCTTCTACGTGGATGACATTTAAAAAAAAAAATCTCGTTAAACTAGATAATATTGTCTGTAAAATGACCTACGATAAAAAAAATAAAAATTACGTAAGATTTCTATTCCTATTTTTAACAAAATAAGTAAAATCAAAATGCTGTTTTAAATAAATATAAATAACAAAAGAAAACAGAATTGAAAGTTTTACTACTTTAGAACATTTTGAATTAATTTGCTATATTAGAAATAATTTAGGTGATAAAATTATACTGACGTTTTTCATAGATTGATATTTTTTAAACATTTGCTTGATATACATTCCTGTAAAAAAAAACTTTTTAAAAAATTAAGATGTAATAAAATTTAAAGCTAAGGATAATAAATTTAAAAACAATCGAAATAAATTCTAGTTCAAGATTTTTATTCCTAGGTAAAAAAAAATTCTAAATAAATATCCATAGTAAACGAGAAAAAAAATTATGATTTTCATTATTGTATCTTGAAATTGTAAATAACATATAGCTTAAGAGTGTCATTAATTTTGAAATAGACAATCAATGTAAGTTGAATAAATTTATTTATTAAAAACAAGCTATTTATAAATATAAATATGTATTAAAAATGTTGAAATTTGTAAACAACCATTAACAGATTATATGAATTCATACTAAAGTGCATTTTCAATAATTAAATTTTTACAAGATTAGATTAATTAAAAAAGTTCAGAATATACTCTATCATTTATTTTGGCATACCGGTTACTGTGGCAAATACTTTTTCTTAGGACTAATCTCAGCACAAAAAAGCAAGCAAATTATTAAACTAACTTTTGAATAAGTTTCAATTTAAATAATTAAATCATCAGTAACGATTCAATAATTATGTGATGAAAATATGCAGCAATGGAACGCTGATATTTTTATGGTATCGAACCAATATTTTATGACAAAATATTGCAAAATCAATAATATTATTATATTATTATGGATTATAATATTATGTCCAATTATAATTCTCCTATTACTAATAGTAATATGTTACAAGTACTGAAAATCAGGTTAGTTCTATATTAGTAAAATAAAATTCAAAATAAAAAAAAATGAGGGAAAAAAATACAATTGGACATAATATTATAACCCATAATAATATGATATTATTATCCAAACAACACACTTGTTCAAAACGTAATAAAATTTAAAAAAAATTAAATTATTCATTAAATATTAATTTTACCTGAAAAAAATTGGAGGTTTTCAGATTGAAAAACAAAGATTATTTTAAAAGTTTTATTATATTGAATGTTTGGACATTTAACAGCAGCGTATTGTACAATTTTCATTACACATTTATATATTAATTAAATATAATTAATAAAATAATTAAATTGATAATTATTATACTTATAGCTAAGATGCAACTATTTTTCACACCACCCAGGAGGTATAGTTGCCAGGCGCTTTTTTTTTAATGTCGTGTCGCCGTACAAATTGTGTACAGCCCTAGTCCACTTACAAAATAACTTAAATTAATTAACTAAGCTAATTTACTAAGCCCAACTTAAATGATACGAATATAACATGAAAAATACCCTACGAGATGATTAAATGTATATGAAGATGTTCTTTAGAAAAAAACCGTAGACGATGCAAGAACCTGTTAGAAATTAAAGGAAAAATTGTAATGTACTATGGTAATTTTGTAATTAAGAGAAGAAAAAAAAAGGAAAAACAAAGAAAAAAGAAAAAAAAGTATTTACATAATGTATCCCCCTAAGATCCACCATGTAAATACTTTAACTTCATAGGTTCCCAGCACTATGAAGCTTATAGAGGAGTGCACTTATAAAGTTCATAAATTTGTGTATTAAGTATTGTTATATGAATTAATATTAAATAATTGCGGAAAAACGCGAAATATATGCGAATTGGAAGGTCCTTGCCGTCTTCCCCACCCATTTTTAAAATAAAAAATAGTAAACTACCAGCCTAATGTATTCTAGCCTAATTTTAACTTAATAATATATCCATGTGTAAATGACAAATATAGCCAAATATAAAAATTATATAGAAGCGTTTTGATTCTTGGAATCATATCGGTTCAAAAGCGTTTGGAATCTTATCAGTCTGCCATGGTTCCCAGAAAGGTTTTGTATTATCTTTTGTCTAATGTATATGTTACGGTAAATGTGCATATTTCGGTGAATGTGCACATTCACCGGTGAATGTGCACATTTACCGGCTCATTTGGCGAATGTGAGTTCAACTCGCGCGCGTGCGCACATGCGGGTAAAATACTAATTCATATATTTATATTTATATTCATATTTATATTCATATTCATATTTATATTCATATTTATATTTATATTTATATTCATATTTATATTCATATTCATATTTATATTCATATTTATATTCATATTTATATTCATATTTATATTCATATTTATATTTATATTTATATTTATATTTATATTTATATTTATATTTATATTTATATTTATATTTATATTTATATTTATATTTATATTTATATTTATATTCATATTTATATTCATATTTATATTTATATTTATATTTATATTTATATTTATATTTATATTTATATTTATATTTATATTTATATTTATATTTATATTTATATTTATATTTATATTCATATTTATATTAATTATTTTAGTCATATGCATATTAATACCCATTGTTTATTACTATTGATCAATTAACAATTTATTTATTAACTATTAACTATGAACTATTAACTATTTAATTAATAACTATTAACTATTTAACCATTAACTATTACCTATTTAACTATTCTTAATTCACTATTTACTAATAATGATTTCCTATTTGCTAATATCTATTCACTATTTACTATTAACTATTCAGTTATCACTATTCACTATTCACTACTTTACTATTCAACTACTATTATATATCTTGATCAAAATGAACAAATCTTCAACAGAATGTTATTAATCATTTATCACCATAACACCATTTTGGTACAAAATTTGTAACATGCTTGACGTATTTCGCGCATAGTCTTTATTGCGCATGCGTCAAACACGCTAGATGTTCATAAGACCGATCCAAGTACGCACGTACACCATTGTTTTAATTTGATTGTTTGAGAACACGCCACATTCACCTAGCGTTTTGGGGACATTCACCGAGAGTGCACATTTACCGCAACATATACTCGTATATTAATTCTAATGTTTATACGAGTGTTTATATTAATTCAGATCAATGGACTTCTTGTTTCTTTATGTGCAGTTTTTAAGTTCAGTATTCAGTGTTCAGTGGCATTAATCGATATTTCATACAGATATAATACAAAATGTTAGTAGATAACATATTTTATTATCATAAAAAATATATTATTATTTAAACTGTTTATATTTTTGTAGTCTAAAATGTCAGACGTGTGGAATTATTTCAAAAAAGTAGACAAAGAAAAAGCGCGTTATATTTATTGCAATAAAATGCTTTCTTGCAAAGGATCAAGCACAAGCAATATACATAATCATTTGAAAACAGTACACGATAAAAAAACGAAAAAAAATTGTCAGATGCCGGCTCGACTTTGCAAACATGTACACAACCACTTATTTTTAATTTTGTGAAAAAAACTAGGTTAAAAGAAATAGTGTCAAAGCTCGCTGCATTAGATGGACTATCAATTAATTGCATAATAAATAGCTCGTTTATAAGAGAGTCATTACAAAAACGAAATTGCTTACCACAGAATAATTCTAGAGTTATGGAACTTATTTACAACTTTTACAAATCTATGAAACATGAAACTATAAATGAAATAAACTGTATGAAAAATAAAGGAGAAAAATTTTCTATAACTATAGATGAATGGACAAGTCAAGGAAATTGAAGATATTTAAATATTTTTGAAATCACATTTTATCAAACAAAAAAATAATTAGGATTTTTAAAATTAATTAATTGAAACTACTCGAAATAGAAAATACTCGCGGCTTAGCTTAATTGTTTTTAAAACTAAAATTGATATCATCAAGGATGTATCTAATATTTTTTTTTAATTTAATAAATGTTTTATTTTTATTTTAAATTGTTTCATTTATTCGAAAACTTGAATCTAGATCTCGGATTAGTGTAAAATTTTAGGCTTGAATTTATCTTTCTAAATCCTGAAACCTATTACAAGATGTCTAAGTCATAAAATCTATGAAACTGGACAAACCTGATCAACTGATTCAAAACTGAACAAAAACCAGGAACAATTAGGCTTGTTGACTCCAAAATTTTGGGGCACGAAAAGATTTGGCCAGAAATTTTGGCTCTAAATCCTGAAAGCCTAAAACGAAACCTACAGACATAAAAATATTTAGGCTTCCTCGACAACCTATTTTACCAGTTTAAAACAAATTTAGGCTCAATCATCGTACCCATCAAATCCATCCATACTTCCCTTGGCAAAAATTTCCCTTTCCCTAATTTTTTATCCTTAATTCAGACCAGATAAGCCTGGACATGCCTAGAATTATCACCGCCCCTGCCCCTCTGACTGGCCTGTCTTAAACTATGATTAAAATTCTGATTCATAAAATTGGGCGACTGCCTATCCAAGAAATTATTAGGACTATTCGCCCTATTGGGCGTGAATTGACCCACCCAACTAGGGTCGATTTGCCTAAAATTAGGCGGAGGAACTTGTCCAAAATTCGGAGGCAGTTGACCAAAATTAGGAGGATGCTGACCGAAATTTGGATCGAAGTTATTTTGGCGTAGATTTCTTCGTTCTAAGGTGGAATAATCCGAGTCTATGCTGGAGTAGATGTGTTCAGTGGCATTTGAGGAATTTGGACGTTGCGTGTAAGGTTTTTCCTTTTCCTGGAACTTCCTCATGTTCTTTTTGGCAAATTTTGGAGAAGGTGTACAAGTCGTCGCAGACGAGTAATTGTTTTCTTCGTAGTTTTCAAAATCGTACATATCAGCCTTGGCGTTTACGTTGACACAATTCTGTTGCCTAATGGCACCTGTTGTCGTGTTATTCTCTAAAGTATAAGTAGTTGCTGTCAGATTTTGCAGCTGCTGCAAATTCTTACCAACTTTCGGTAAATTGTACAGCAAGCGTTTTGTAAAGTTTTTATCATCAGTGGATATCACATCTTTAGCAGTCTTCAAAAAGGGTTTGAAGTCTTCATCCAGGTCATGCCTGTGTAGTTTCTGGTCCTTTAATACTACCAGACGTTTCTGGATTGCTAAATTTCTAAAAACCTGGCGCAAATTCGGTTTAATCCACTCAGTTTGCAAAAAGTTGCGCGTTAAAATCAAAACTAGGCGTTTGGAGTTCTCAGAATTCTCTTGGACACTTGTACCTTGTCCATCACGATGCAACAAACAAATCTTAAACTTATCCTTCAAATTCACCAAAACATACTTCTGCAAATACTCCAAATCCTTTTCACTGTACAAAATCATTACATCGTACAACAAGTTATCGAATTCTGGTTGGTCGAATAAGGTGACACCAAATTTGGAGTGCAGACAGATTTTCAAACTTTTTCTAAAAACAAAGCATAGTAGGATGCTGAAGATTACTAGAAGGAATAGAATGAGTACAGTGGCTAGTAAGTAGATGTAGTCTTGTGAAATTTCATTGTTTTTGACGTAGAATTCTGAGCAAACGTTTTTGTCGGATTCGATGTTTAAACGTTGGATGACGCCACCTGAAACGCAGTGTAAATTGGATAAGTCTTGGATTTTTAGCAGGTTGTTTTGGACAAAACTAGCGATTTTTTGCAAGTTTTTGCAACAGCATGCATACTGGTTTGAACCTAGCCAAATTTTTTGCATGGTTTTCATGTTCAAGTCAACGAAGTTGACTAATTTGTTGCCATCCAGTCTTAAAACCTCCAGACTGGTCAAGCCCTTGAAAGTTGTGTTATCAATATGGGTTAACTGATTATTTTGTAAATATAGTTCTTTTAACGCGTCCAAGTTAACAAATTCAAAACCCTCAAACACTTGTAGTTTATTATTAGACAAGTCCAAAGTTTGCAAGTTGAGTAAACCAGCAAAAGTTTCATTACTAATCACCTCGACGTTGCTCGAGTTCAAATACAACTTTTGCAAGTTTTTGCGTCCAATAAAAACATGGTTGTCAAGTTTCTGGAAATTATTACCATCCAAATAAATTTCAGTTGCGTAAAAGGGTATATTTTTTGGTATCTCTGTACTACTGGTGCCATTATTGGCAGAACTTCCACAATCTACAATATTGGTGGACCAGTTGAGATTGTTTAGACATTTGCAGTTTGATGGGCATATCATTTCACATTCGCAAGCAAAAAAGTCACAACAATGGCACAAGACGAAACAGTGGGACTTGTACTCGCACAAGAAGTTTGAGGATTTCATTGTTTTTAGTTGTAAAGTTTTGCTGGTTCTTACATTGTTTTCAACGTTGCACACAATGTTCTCCGAGTCCATGATTTTGGGATACCTGTGCGTTATCAAATCGTTGTTGGAAATATTATTTATATTCAGCAAAAAGTCCATGCTGCAATCACAACGGAAAGGGTTACCACTTAGGTAAATTTCTGTGTTGGTTTTGCCACCAGAGTTTTCCAAAACCTTAGGCAACTTCAAACTATTCAAATCCATTTGTTTGATTTCATTCGCGTACAAATCAATCCTGGTTAGGTACTTTTTATAGTAAAAACAGTTAGCGTGGATTTTCCTAATAAAATTATTATTTATAAACAATAATTCTACGCTATCAGGTATGTTCAGGTTAGAAATTTCCGTCAATCTGTTATGACTAGCATCTAAAGTTTTTAGTTTCAACTTGTCCTGGATTTTGTAGTAGTTACCCAAAACTTCTATATAGTTGTTGTGGATATCCAACCACTTTAGGTTAAATGGTACAAAAGCGTAATCAAACCAAATCAAATTGTTCTCCGACAAATTCAACCACAGTAGGTTCAACAGACTTGAAAAAATACCATCAACGTCCATCAGAAAATTTTTATCCAGGCGTATAGCTTCTAAATTCTGGTTACCATCAAAAGTATCCCTATCAATTTGCTGGATTTTGTTTTTAGCCAAATTCAAAACCTGCAAGTTTGGTAAATTTTGGAACATTGGTTTGGACAAGTTGCCTATACGATTGTCTATTAACCTCAAACCTGTAAGTTGGTTTAAATTTTTGAAACTGTCGTTCTCAACATTTTCAATCAAGTTTTCGCCCAAGTCTAAACTTTTAAGCATCTGCAAATCCTGGATTGCTTTAGGAATCCTGGTGATTTGGTTAGAACTCAAATCGAGTTGTTTTAAATCCGAGCAATTTTTAAAAGCGTTGATGTCTATGGAGTTGATCAAGTTGTTATTTAAAGTCAGTTTGCTTAAAACAAATAAACCGTTGAACAAGTTGTTATCGATTTGGTGCAACCTGTTTTCAGCCAAGTTTAAGGTATGCAAGTTGTACAAAGGTAGGAAAGCGTTTTCGTCAACGTATCCGATGGAGTTGTTTTTTAAATCCAAAATTTGTAGAAAGAACAAATCTTTGAAGGTTTTGGAGTCTATACGTGTCAACGCGTTGTTGGATAAATTCAAAACAATAAGTCTGATCAAACCTGTAAAAATATTTTCATCAATATGATGGCTGGACAGTTGATTAGAACTCAAATCAAGCACCAAAAGTTGTTCCAAACGATGAAACAAACCTTTGGGTAACTCGAATAACAAATTGTTTTGCAAATGAATCTCCCTGATTTCTCTTGAATTGAATAACAAGAAATTTGGTAAACTTTCAAGTTTGTTGAACGACAAATTTAGGATCCTTAGACTAGTCAAACCTATCAAACTTTCACTGGACACGTCTGTAATATTATTATGCTGCAAGTGCAGTTGTTGCAAACGCCTTAATTTCGAAATTTGCCAAAAATCACCAATATTTGCCAACCTGTTGTAACTCAGATCCAAAGTCACCAATTCTTCGCCTCCAGAACAACGTTCTGCACCTGCAGAAAACCCTAACTCGTTTGCAGATTTGATACGATTATCAGTCAAATTTAAGGTCTGCAAAGATTTTAAAGGACACAAAGTATTCTGTTGCAACAAATTTATATTATTACCTGCCAGGTTTAGGCTTTGGAGTTCGTTCAAACCCTGGAACGACTCTTGGGATATGTTCAAGTTTTTATTAGCGCCCCAGAGTTGGTTATTAGATTTCACTGATAGTTTTTTAAGTTGGCTCAAACCGTGAAATGCAAATTTAGGTAAGAATAAAAACTTACAATTTTCTATATTCAACTCGTTTAAAGCCTGGAATATCAGGAACAAACCGTCCCCGATGTTGCTCTCGAAGAGCAACATCTCGTTACAAGATATGTTGAATTTGGTCAAAATTTCTAATTTTTGGACGGTGACACCTAAATTTGAAAAGTTTTCGGAACTACGTTCCAACGTCCTGATTTTACACGACATTTGGGTTTTGGATAACACTTTGGTAGTCTCATCCTTTTCGTATTGACACAAAGAATGGACACCATATACCACAAAAAATAATAGGATAAAAAATTTGGGCGTAGCCATTTTGTCTAAAATTTAACAAAACTTAAAGTAAAATATATACTTAATTAATCATACTATCTAGTATCCTGGTTAATCCTGGAGTCACTGTATCCAAAAAACAAGTCACCACACAACTTTTGTTCACCACATCACCACAAATTGAAAAAAAACTTTGGGAAAATAAAATAAAAACAAATCCAAAACTTTTTTGTTGATCATTTGTTGTTATTTGATTTTAACTTTTTTTTGTTCATGTTTTATTTTAAGCACTAGTCACATAACTACAGCTTTTGGTTACCACTTTTGTCTAATTTTTGGACAAAACTTTTGGACACTTTATACATCTCGTCGAAAAAGAAAACTTTTTTTTGTTGACGAAAACCTGTTTTTTGTTGAACAAAAGATAACATTTCACGCAGGTCGGAAAAAAACTGTTCCCAGGATCAGACAAAAAACTTTTTCAGGGTCCTGGAATATTTTTTGTGACCACAAGATTAATTGAACGTTGACACAACTTGAGAGAAAATGAAAAAATTGAAGCAAAAAGCACTTTTTTGTTGTTATTTTTGTATCACGAGCACTAGATGCAACTTTTTTTTGACGTCCGACAGTTTTAGTTCTAAATTTAGTAATAAAAACCAAAATTTAGTAACGTACACACTAATTTTCCAACATTTCCAAAAATTTTTGTACAACTAGCAATTTGTAGACACAAAAATAGTTCTTTAAGGTAAATTTTGTTGCAAAAAACAAATTTCTGGATACACACACTAATTTTTTTCACTTTCAATTAACTAGTACTAAAAAATAGTACTGTATACTAAATTTAGTCCTCTTGACACAAATTTTCGTACAAAATTCTAGACAAAAACACTAATTTTTATAGTTAGTCCAAGTTTTTTTTTGCATAACACACTAACGATACTGGATCTAATTGTTTTTCAACCACGAAGTACTAAAAAATTTGGTACTAATACTAAATTTAGTTATCAGGAACCCAAATTTAGTATCAAAACAGCATACACACACTGATTTTTAGTTTGCACCAAATTTGTGGCACAAACAATTAGTGAAGCAAGTTTAAGTCAATTTTTAACTACCAAGTACTAAAAAATTTAGTACTAATACTAAATTTAGTTAGCGAAAACTAAACTTTAGTATCACACACTAATTTTTGAATTTATATAAATTTTTTGCACAAACTGTATAAGTTTGTACAAATTTTGGTAAAGCAGGTTTTAATGGCTTTTCAAGTACTAAAAAAACTAGTACTTTATACTAAATTTAGTTAGCAGGAACCAAAATTTAGTACCAAAACAGGATACACACTAATTTTTGAGTTTGTACAAATTTTGTTAGACACAACTATTTTAGTACAAATTTTGTATTTTTACTTGAGTAAGTTTTAGTTCTAGTACTATTTTTGACCACCAAGTACTGAAAATACTAAATTTAGTAAGCACAACTAAATTTTAGTATATAATCAGCATAAATAGTTTCACTTTTGTTGCACAAAATTGTTTCAAGTCAAATTTTGTGGATAATCGATTTTCAACCACCAAGTACTAAAAATAGTACTCGTGCTAAATTTAGTTAGCAAGGACTGAAATTTAGTACAAAATTCTGGACCCACACACTTTTTTGAGTTTGCCCAAGTTTTGTTGACTGATGATCCTGGTTGTTTTATCAGTTTACTTTATTGTTTTAAGTCAAATTTTGTTGAATCGATTTTCAACCACCAAGTACTAAAAATAGTACTTGTACTAACATTAGTTAGCAAGGACTAAACTTTAGTACAAAATTCTGGACGCACACACTTTTTTGAGTTTTTTCAAGTTTTGTGATGCCGGTTGTTTTATCAGTTTATCCAAAATTGTTTCCAAAGTTTTCGACAACCACCAAGTACTAACAATATTAACACAAACTTTTGTTACTAAAAACTTGCACTTTGTCACAACTTTAAAACAGTCTTCACTAAAACTCCTTTCACAAGTAGAGTTCTTTTTGCTCTTCAACAGATTTTTTTGTTTTTTTTTTCAAACTTCTCTCTAAAACTTTATTTATCAACCTATGCTCCAGTTAATGTATGCATATTGTTTTTCGTTGATGTCTCACAATTTTTAGTAGCACCTCCACTACCTGTGAAGTGTGAATGCGGACTGAATTTCATTTTACCAGACACTAGCAGACCGCCAGACAGGGACGGCACTATGCGTGTTTGGTGGTGGTCGGAGAGAAAGAGACGGGGAGAGGGCGTGAGCGAGAGAGGGATAGAGCGGGAGAGCAAGATAGGTGACGGGTTAGAGGGAGACGGGTGGGTTAGAGTAGAGTCCTTTTTGCTCTTCAGTAGAGTCCCTTTTGCTTTTAAGTAGATTCCTTTTTGCTCTCCAGTAGAGTCCCTTTTGATCTTAATTAGAGTTCTCTTTGCTCTTAAGTAAGGGCCTTTTTGTTCTTTGGTAGAGTCCTTTCTGCTCTTCAAACTATTTTTATCGAACTATTCATCAGAATAGTTTTCTTTTTATTTAATTAGGTCATTCGTAAAGTCCTCTTTTACGTATTTATATAACTTTCTCGTCAGTAGAGTTCTATTTATATTTTCTATGTAATTTGCTTGTCCTTATTTTTTTTGCTATTTAATTTGTTTGTCAGTAGAGTCCTATTTTTCTTGCTATTTTATTTGCTCGATAGTAGGGTTTTTAACTTCTATGTAATTTGCTCATACTTACTTACTTTTCTTGCTCGTCAGTAGAGTCCCATTTTTAATTTCTATGTAATTAGCTTGTCAGTAGAGTCCTATTTGACTGTACTATTTTATTTGTTTGTCAGTAGAGTCCAATATAAGAGTGCTATTGTATTTGTAGGTAAGTAAGGTCCTATTTTTTATTTCTATTTCATTTTTTTTATTTCTATGGAATTTGCTCGTCAGTAGAGTCCTATTTTTTCTTGCTATTTAATTTGCTAGTCAGTAGAGTCCTATTTCTGCTTGCTATGTAAATTGTTTGTCAGTTGAGTCCTATTTTTATTTGCGATTTTATTTGCTCGTCAGTAGATACCTATTTTTCTTGCTCGTCAGTAGAGTTCCATTTTTAATTTCTATGGTATTTGCTCGTCAGTAGAGTTCTATTTTTCTTTATATAAAATTTGCTCGTCAGTGAGGTCCTATTTTTGCCGGGTATTTAACTTGATATTTGATTTGCTCGTCAGTAGAGTCCATTTTGTAACTTTTACTCAATTTGCTCGTTAGTAGAGTCCTTTTTGTAACTTTTACTCAATTTGCTCGTTATAGAGTCCGTTTTTTACCTTCTATTTAATTTGCTCGCCAGTAGAGTCCCTTTTAGCTTTCATTTATTTTGCTCGTCAGTAGAGTCCTTTCTTGATTCTAGAATTATATTTGATTTTCTCTTCAGTAGAGTCTTTTAATATTTTTTAGATTCCTGTTTTTATTTGTTAGACGTAAGTAAAATAACAGCAATTTGCCAATAGACCAAAAATATTTACTACGATCAAAAATATACATATTATAAAAATATTCTCAAAATCTTTCACTTTTCATAAGCCTATAATATTTGAGTGTGCTCATTAAGACAATCAGAGCTTTTTGCATACAGTTTCACTAAAATTGTTTTAATCAGTTGTTAATTGTATTAACGAGTTTGTTTGTTAGTAGAGCCCTCTCTTATCTTTAGTAGATATTTCTGTTTAATTTGCTCGTCAGTATAGTCCTTTTGCTAGCTCTCCAAAACGTATACTTATTACTAAAACTATAAAATTTAAATAATTTTATATCTCTGTGTTCTATCCCTTACTTCTTTGTATTCCCCTAAGTATGCATTAGACAAAGTCAGCAATACGAATTTCTCTGAAAAAACAAGAACGGCATACGACTGACTTGTGTGCGACGAAGACGAAGATATAGAGGTATATATATTCCGCAAAGGGAATGAGAGAGACAGCGCTATACGAGCGCACAAGCATGTGTGCGTGCTCAAAATGCATGAAAGGGATAGAAGGAGAAGAGATGCATTGTGTGTGATTCTCAAAGTGCGGAAACAAAGTTTGAGAATATTTTTATAATATATTTTTGACCGGAGTAATATTTTGTGACCCATTGGCAAGTTGTTGTTATTTACTTATATGTGATAAATTACAAAAGGATTCTATTACATAGTAATTTTAGAACGTAAAAACAGGGCTGTACTGGCGAGCAAACTAAATAGAAGTCAACAAAGGACACTACTGTCGAGCAAACTCAACGGACTACTACCGACAAAGGACTCTACTGACGCGCTAAGAACGGAGAAAAAAAGGAGACTAATTGTACGAAAAAAAAAATTTTACTGACCAGCAAATAAAACATCAGCCTAGGCGTTAAAAAGGACTCTACAAACAAGCAAATGAAAATAAAAACCTAGATGATAAAAATCCACTAAAATGTGGATTCTACTGACGAGCTAAATAAGGTTAAAAAAGGACTCTACTACTGGCAAATAAATTAAAAAGAAGATAGGAAAAGGACTCTACTGGCAAGCAAATGCCTCATAATTTCCGTAGGGTAGTTATAGTAATGGGCCAAAAATCGAAAAAGTGCAGAAATAGAAATCAAGTTTTGAGAGAACGGAGTATCCGATTTGAATGATCTAAAAAACATTCAATTGTAATGATTGGGAGAAGAGGTGATTAGTTTTTGGCAAAGACAGGTCCAGCCGTTTCGGAAATACCGAGCTAAATGTGCAAAAATGGCAGTTTTTGAGTGAACTAAGCGTCCGATTTGAATGATCTAAAAAAAAACTTTCTGCTTGTATTGACAAACCAATTGCTTTTGAAGATAAAAAAGAGTGCGCGTAAGGATCACACGCGATTGAAGTAAAACTTTTAATATTGTATGAGTAGGCAATTAAGATAAAAATGAAAAAAACAACATCATATTTGAATTTTAAAAATCATTTATTAAGAATCACATAACATCAATAACACAGTTTAAAACAACAGCGATAGATTAATTGCTATCATATTTCATATAT